ATACAATATATATACACACTATAAACTACAACAAAATATCTACTTTGTTTTTATTATTAGGTGGTTTTTGTTGTAGTTGTTCTTGTTGTACTTAGTACTCTGATAGTGAATAAATAAAATCAATTGATAGAAAGGTAAATATTGCAAAAATAATGCTTTAAGCATTTTATTTTTCTAGGAAAAATTTTTAAGTTTTATTAATGTATATTGTGTTCATAACAATTATGGTTTATCTTCAGTTGTGAACGATTGGATTTAGAGTGAATTGGGCGAGGGTTAAAGGGGGTAAGGAGAATATAAAGAATAATAATGAAAACATTCAGAATTTGGTAATGTATATAAAAATAAAGCTTACTTCCAAGATAGAAGTAAGTGGAAATTTTAAAATTGTAGTGTTCTAAAAGAGTGACATAGTTATAAAGTTTTCCGAATCAAACATGTTATTTTTGTTTACATTTCACATTTTTTCCCTTTTTATTGTGTGTTTCACAGTGTGTAATTAAAATTTTGCAGTTCATATCGATTTACCCCTCACCCAAGATTTGTCATTTGTTTTGACCTTAAATTTAAGGATAGACTCAGGTCCTGAAGCATTAGGAGAAAATTGGTGTAATGAAACGATTTAAAGGAATCTGAAAAAATCGATTTAAGAATGTGTTTTATAGAGAATTAACAATCAAATTCCAATGTTCATACAATATCAGAATTGTGGGGTAAGATATTTTTTAAGATAATCAGATAATCTGACGTTTAGCTTTAGTGGAGAAAGATGATAATATTTACCAGGAGTTATTTTAAAATAACTCCTATGACCAAATTTTTTACCCAAGTGAAGATTACATAAACTTGGTAGAAGAGGAACCAAAGAGTTATATTGAAATAATATTCTTTTGGTATTTCTTCTAAATCTTAAAACCGCACTTATAAACATTTTCCTCTTTCTCCACTTGTTATGCTTTCATTGGCCTGAACGAAGTAGCATAACCATACCTTACCTCCAGGTAAACGTTACCATCTTACTCCAGCAATAAATAAAGTTATTTGTATAAAACCAGTAAGGAAAAGTCAAATATCGATAGCGTCTACGACTATATGATACCCCACACCACTAAGCATATTTAATAGAGCTTCCGTAACAAAAGAATTTATATTGAACTTTAGACTTACCAACCTTTGGCTTAACCCATTAGTGGGCAGTGTCCCTTATAAGGGACTCTCACATTTTGCACTGTAGCACTTTCCAATACTCGCTTTTTTTGTAAACAAGTAGGCTATGCCGTTACTGACACTCCAACGAATTATGTTCTATCCCATTAATTTAATTTCTTGCGAGTTGTGTGTTGTATTTTGTGCAAAATATGGAAAACCAATTTGTGAAAAAACAAAAATCTCGAGCTGGGCAAATAAAATTTCAATAAAGTTATGATTCTGTGAATATTTATGATTGTGTTTGTATTGTTATTTGTAAGTTAGTGTAATATACTAGTTTATGCCCAAAAAATAAAATAAATTGTTGTGACACGTGCATAAAGTGACTATGAATGCAACGTCCCCTAAGAGGGACACTGCGCCCGTAGTACAATTGTAATCCACTGATTGAGTAATGAATCTTATATGTGCAGACTTACAGTTTCTGAAATACTGACTGAATTGGATGTTATTGGCGATAATGAGTTGCACGACATTGAAATTTACGCGATCCCACCAATAGATGGTGCAGATACTGATGAAGATACTGATGGTGGTGGCTCATATTTGCATATTTGCTTGATGGTCAGTAGTGAATGCATGGTTGTTAATGAAGAAGTTACATCCCAATGATGCGGCATGTTCAACTCTTCTAAATTGCAACATCATATCTGGAATCGTATGGTACCCCAGCATCAAGAGGTTTGCGCAATAGCAATGTCACTGCAGATACAAGATATGATGGCAGAAACCACATTATTGAATATTCAAAAACAGATAAACGCTGTGGATTATGCGGCAAAAAGTCTAACTTTACTTGTAAGAAGTGTGACAAAGGTCTCCACCCTAAAAATTGCTTTAAGGAATATCATAAGCCAAGTGTACCCAATGCGCAGCGTCCCTTATAAGGGACGGTCCATAACTCCAAAACCATAAGCTTTTTTGAATAAATTATTTTTAAAACAAATTAACTAGACCATTTTTATTTGTAATTGGTGTAAATCGCTTAAAGATAGTGCTCAGGGGACTTCGTCCACTAATGGGTTAAGAGAGGGGACTAATATATGGGAAGCATATCCAATTCTGAATCGATTTTAACCAAATTTGACGGAAACATGTTTACCTTTTATACAAAATAACGTTGCTATGCAGGGTTAGATAAAAAACTGCAACAAAGTTAAACGACATAATTTTTACATTTTTTTAAATTTTATTGAATAAAAGCAAAGTATGTCGGAAATAGCATTAAATTTTAGAAAAAGTTAAGTTTTGTTCGGATTGGGCACCTTTGGGACAAATTATGGCCTTCAAATGGGCAATGAAACCGTCACACGCTGCCTTAATGTTGCTTTGCGGTACTTTGGTCCATTCCCGGCGAAGCGCTTGCTTGAAATGATCGACACTTTGGTATTTTTCAGTTAAAACCTTGCTTGCACTTCAGACACAATAGTCCAGCGGATTGGTCTCCGGAGATTTTGGTGACCATTGTGCGCCAAATGAAGCGAGAAACTCCATTTTGTAACCATTCATGGGTGGCGCGTGCTGAGTGCGATAGTGCTGAGTCTTGTTGGAATGTCCAAGGTCTGTGGCCAAAATGTTTGCGTGCACAAGGCTTTAATACACCCTCCTGATTATTTTCGCGATAATATTCGGCATTTATTCTGATGCCACGGTCGATTAATACGAGCGGAGAGCGACCATCGGCTGTTATGGCGACCCGCACCACCATCACCATGGCCGGCGCTTTAGTTCTGGTGGCCAACCGAAGGTGCACATTTTCAGCTGACCTCTTTGGCAAGTAAACACGATCATTTTATGTGTTTACAAACTGCTGGACAACGAATGTTATCTCGTCGGAGAAAAACAAATTCGGCAGTTTACCACTTTCGGCCAAACGAAGCAAGTCTTTAGCTCTTTGGAGTCTATTTTTTTCTGTGGCGGTGTAAGCTCTTGCGCTTTTTGGAATTTCAATGGCTTTACCCCTAACTCATTTTTCAATATTTGCCGAATGGAATATTGCGATATGTTCAGCTCACGAGCCATTTTTCGGTCACTGCGACGCGGATCGCTTCTTTACTTTTCGAACCATTTCTGTTGATGTTGCTCTTTTCTTCCATCCACTTCCTTGACGTCGGGCTACGCTACCAGTATCACGGCAACGAGCGATGCTACGAGACACAAACGATTTATTCACATTTAGATGCTGGAGTGCTTTAGCGATAGCCACTTGTGGTTTTCCAGCCAAATATAAAAAGAAATCACGCTATCATGAATGAATTCCATCACGAATAACTTTTTTTTTTCTAGAAAATTCTCACCAAAATGCTTTTGTACGTTTGTAAACAATATAATGAGCTGTCACTGGTATCATTTTAAAAGCTGTCGGGCGAGTGGCTTAGAAATTTGAAAGTTTGAATTTGGTTGAAGTATTTTCATCTTACCCTGTATAGTGCGAGAAGGGTTATATTACCACCACCAAATAGAAACGAACATTTGAAATTCAGACCACTTGGGCTGATATTAGCCGTTATTTACACAATAAAGCTGAAATCGCAATAACGATATATATGGGAGCTATAAATTCTCGATAAAATTTGCCAAAGGTATTTTTGAGCTCTATAAGATATCTGGTACCAAATATCATTGTTGTGGAGCGCATATTACACATGTGAGGGACTTAAAACACCAAATTGAATGAAACATATATATGGGAGCTATAGCTATATCTGAACCGATTTTCACCAAATTTCACGACTCAGAAAGTGATTCTATGAAGATCCTTAAAAGTAACAATGGGTCTATCTCGCTTCCTGCTCCATGTTACAAACAAATGCACAAATACATAATACCCTTACCACTATGTGGGGTAGGGTGAGTATAAACAACAACAAAGGGATTAAGCCTGACTATTTTGCAACAACAGAAATAATTAATTATTTTTTTTATTTTCGGCGTTTCATATCTTAGGAATACCAAGCCTATTAATCTGTACTTGAAACTAAACATATAAATATGAAGATTTTAGTTCTTGTGTAGGCTTCGAATGAGGTTTTACTTTATGCCAATTCGACTAAAAATGAGGGAAGACAATCTTTTTGAAGTATTTAAGCAAACAATGCGTTATATTGTCTTTCCACTTATCCTAAGCGAAACCATATTCAACCATATTCTTACGTATCAGACTTTTATTTTATTTTTCTCTTTTAGGTCATATTCTTCCTCGGCTTATATACAATCCAAAAGTCGTGAAAATAACAAAATATTTAGTCTGAAATAAATGCGAAATTATTGCCAACTGCACGCCCATAAAAAGGGACATCAAATAAAAAAATTGTAATTGTGTGATATCAATAGATTACCTTGGTAATTGGACCATGAGTTTGGATCGTATATGTGAATAAAAATTTAACTCATTTTAAAAATGAAGATAAATGTCAAATAAAAAGTTGCATTTAATTTTAAATAATTCTGACAGGAAGCTACATAGCCTCAGAGCTGCATTTCTGTAGTTTTGCGAAACTGTTCTATCTCTTTATTGTACCATGATATAACAGCTGTTCTAAGCACCATGCGTTGCAAAACCATCAAATTTAAAATACCTTTCATCCCTTATTTAATTTGTCTTGGCAACCCTGCGTTAAAGTAGCCTTTGTATTTTTGTGTTCGCTCTTTGACACATTCCTCTTCTCATATCTCACCTAGAGAGAGCGCGAGCATTGTTTTGTTTATCTTCTTATTTTTTTATATTTTGGTCCGTTTCAATTGTCAAAATTCTACTGATTGCTTGCCTTTTAGTACCAAAAGAAGAAATATACAACAAAAAGGTATCCAACAGCCGACGACGACGGTGAAGAAGAATTATTTGCTCGTTGCTCCTCTTTAAGTATTTGCGCTGTTTTATTTTTCGTTGCTGATTTTGTGGTGTACAAATAATTTCGATTTCATTAAAATAGAATAAAAAAATCCATTTTATAATCAAGTAAAGAAATTTAAACAGACTGTGTGACGCTTCAACGGCGGAGAGTGGAGTCTATGCAAAAAAGAAGTAAAGGTATTACACGAGTAAATTGCTTAAGTGAAAATGAAAAAAAGTTTGTTATTTTGCAAGAACATTCATCAGCAAGTTGTGATATAATCCGTCCATACATCTATCCTTTGTGGAATTGGCAAACTTTTGTGGTGTTTAGCAGGGTTGTGTGAAATAATAAATTTGCAATCTTTGCTAGTGTTATCCTAGAGGTACACATAATACAGAACAAGGATAATTGGCAAATATTGGCATACACATGTGCGGGTGTTTGTGTTGTTTTGTGGCAAAAAAAAAACTTAACATACAATATTAAACAATTCGTAGAACAATATTTATAAAAAAGTCCTGAGTTTTGTATGCCCCTTGTACGTATAATATATTTCATCACAGGATACCACAGCTGATTTCTTTTTTTTCCATCCTTATCTGACCAAATGAAGTATTCAGTCATCATCATTTCACCTCTTGGCTTTTTCATTCAGAAATTGTAATTCATTCTGTCATTTCAAGCAAGCAAGAAGGTATTTTACTTGCTTCTTTTCAATTGGTGTTTGTTTCATGAAAACATCCTTGTTCTGTCCGCCCATCTCCCCTCGGCACTGTTCACCCCTTTCACATTATTTGGCACAAATTTTTGCGTCTGCGTTCCGTGCCAATTTCATTGATTTTTCTCATACACAAATGTATGCTGCTTCTTGTTGTCATTTGTTTTTCAATCTCCCTTTTGTGGTTCCCATTCGCAAACGCGCCGCAACTGGTTGTTTTTACCCTTACCGCCGAAAGTTGTGAGTTTCTGTTCTGTCATGTGGTCGTCCCGTCCTGTGTTTATTGTGCATTTAAATGGGAGGATGGGAGATAAGATAGGGAGAGAATATTACAAAGGATTGCCATATCTTTTGTAGCTTCTGAAAATAACTCGCCATAACACCATATTATAATGGAAATATCGAAAACCTTTAGTTCGAACCCCAAACAACATTAATTTTTGTTTTGAACTTGAAGCCATGTATATTGCCATATATATTGAAGTTGTTCCAAACCCAAGCGTATGTATTTTTATACCCTACATCATACCTGATATGGATGCTATATTGAGTTTGTCATATATATTCTTAATCAGCATAAGATTCGATGTCGATTTTTGCCATATCCGTCCGTTTGTGGAAATCACTCTAGCTTTCGAACGGAATGAATTATGTATACAAACTATTACTCAGATGTAAGTAAATAGCAGTGAACCGCGTTATTTGCGGACATTATCCCGCTTTTGGAAGGCAATAAAAACCTGGTACTAGGGGATTTTTAATACCCACTCCGTCACGACACTCCGCCCTAGGAACTTATTGTTGTTGTTGTTGTAGCAGTAGTACATGTGTGTGTTTGTGTTCTGCTAATCTGGTTCCAGCTCCAGGTTTAGAAATTCGGCTACTTTAACGGGCTGTAGCCAGAGATCCTCTGGAGTGAGTTGGGTAGGTTTGGCTGAGCAATTAAAAAGGTGTAGCGTATTGTGCGGGCCTGTATCACACGCCGGGCAGGCGTCACGCACATCTTCATCAATTCGTGCCCAGTACGAATTGAGGCGACTACACCATCCTGAACGTAATTGCGCCAAAACTACCCTGGTTTGTCTAGGCAGCTGACGTTCTTCGGCTGCAATGGATGGGGGGTGGACTCCGAGGACGGCATTCACTTTATAAATGCTAATAGCATCCGCGACTGCATCGGTGTGAATGCCACTCAGACCTGCCTGATAGGCTTCTTGATCTAGAGGCTCTCTCTTGTAGCGCTGGACCTCCCTCTCTAGATCATGTATGTCCTTCCTGACACGCCTGGGTGGGGGAGAGTTATCCACCATATGATGGTTGGGATGGCTCTCACGGTAACACCCAAGCAGGTACTGCAACGAAAGCATATGATTATGCTGACGTAAGGGAAGGACTTTCGCCTCCTCATGTAGATGGTCCACTGGTGTCATGAGGAGGCACCCTGTCGCAGTTCTCAGGGCAGCGTTCTGGCAGGTCTGGATATTCTTCCACTGCGTAGCACTAGTATTCGCAGACCACACTGGAGCCGCATAGTTGACCACAGACCGACCTATCGCGTTATAAGAGGTCAACAAGGTTTCTTTGTCCGCGCCCCAAGAGCTGCCGGCTAGCGCCTTGAGGACCTTGTTCCTACTTTTCATCTTGTCGCAGATAGCTGTGGCTTGCGCGGACGACTTGAACATGCTGTCGAACGTTACCCCAAGAATCTTGGGGTAGTTCGTGGTCGGTATTAAATTCCCCTCGACCTGAACATTCAGCTGTGTTCTCATCTCCGCAGACCATGTGGTAAAGAGTGTGGCCGTTGATTTCGTGGCGGATATTTTCATATTCCTCGCGTGGAAGTATGCGGCAAGCTCCGCGAGATAGGGGTTCAACCTCTCGCATATGTCATCGACCACTGGACCCGACGCCATGATCGTACAATCATCCGCATACGTTACGATCTCAATGCCGTCTGGAGGGCGAGGAATTCCGGAAAGGTAGAGGTTAAACAGTTCCGGAGATATCACCCCACCTTGGGGAACTCCCTGTTTCACTCTACGGGCTTTGGACTTCTTGTTCCGGAATTCCACGTACGACTGGCGTCCACACATATAGTTGATTATCCAACGTTTCAAACTTGGCCGGAGGGTAGTTCTCTGTACGTCCTCAAACAGTGTGGCATGATTGACCGTATCAAATGCCTTTGATAGGTCAAGGGCTACCAACACTGTTCTGTCACACGGCCTGTTCTGGTTTAGTCCTCTACTAATATGTGTGGAAATGGCGTGTAATGCTGTTGTGGTACTATGTTGTGGACGGAATCCGTGCTGGTGGTTGGCAACTGCATAGCTTCCTCTAATGCTGGGGAGGAGTAAAGCCTCAAGAGTCTTTGCTACTGGCGACAAGAGCGAAATCGGCCTGTACGATTCGCCTTTACTGGCATCCTTGCCTGGCTTCAGTAGCGGGACCACCCGGCCCATTTTCCAGGTTTCGGGCACTATGTGGGTGGCTAGCGACAAATTGAGAACTTTCGTTAAGTACTCGACTCCCGGCGTATCCAGCTGCTTCAACATTACCATTGAGATTCCGTCCGGGCCCAACGCTTTGGATGACTTAGCGTTACGGATGACATTTGCAACATCACCCATCGTAAACTGTGGTGGTTCCTCCTCGGCGGGAAGAGATCTGATACGACGTAGTACTCTTCGCTTCGCCCTATCACTCTCGGGGTGCTCGACAAATTGTCGGTTAAAATATTCCGCGCACCTCTTCGGATCAGTCACCGTTACGTCGTTAAAAGTGACTGAGGTCCTATCATCCTTTTTTCCAGGGTTCGAGAGCGACTTAACCGTTACCCACAGCTTACTCATATCGGTTCTAATGTTGCAGCACTTCAGATGGTCTAGCCACTTTTTCCTCTTATGCTCCTGTACCAACCGGTTGACTTCCACTGTCAAATCACTGATTCTAGGATCAGTAGGGTTGGTACGACGGAGATCATCACGCTCGTTTGCTAATCCCGCTGCCTCTGCTGGGAAGTTTGGTCTTATCTCGGGTATTCGGCCAGCAGGTATATAGCGAGCGGCTGCAGCTCTGATGATGTTTCGGAAAATCCTTTCTGCTACCCGAACATCAGAAGGGTTGGGCAGTTCTCTGAAGCGGCGGTTGGTGAATTCTCTGAACTCTGGCCAGTGAGCTTTCTCATGGTTAAGGAAAGTGCGGCGTTCAGAGGTTATGAAATCGGGCGACCTGCTTATGGAGACGATTATCGGGAGATGGTCTGAGCCAAGAGAGATGACGGGTTGCCAAGTCACGTCATTTATCAGACCGGGTGACACTATGGTTAAGTCTGGCGAACTGTGACACTCTCCTCTTATTCGGGTGGGGGCATCCTCGTTAACCGTGCAGAATGTGGAGCAGTCAATCTGCTCTGCCAGCGCTGATCCCCTCTGGTCATTACCTAGGACGGAATGCCACAACTCATGGTGGGCATTAAAATCCCCTAGTACCAGGCGGTTATTGCCTACCAATAATGGGCTAATATCAGGCAAATAACGCGGTTCACAGCTATTAATCGGCGGGATATACACATTAAGCACCTCTACCTCGGCAGTTCCACACTTGACTGCTACCCCCATACATTCCATGTATGGGTCACTAGAGACTAGCTCAAGCGAGATAGGTCTGTACTGAACAGAATGGTGTAACAGGAACGCTAATCCCCCACCTCCACTTCTGGTGCGATCCTTCCTTAGTACGTTGTAACCATAACAACGTTGTAGGCTGCAATTTTCATTCAGCTTGGTTTCCTGCACCGCTGCGATCTTAATATTCCTCCGACTCATAAATTCCACTATCTCATCTATTTTGCCTCGAAGTCCGTTGCAATTGAATTGCAAGAATGATGCACAATCCGGAGTTGGAACAGCAACATGTGGCGTTAGGTGCTGCGGTGTTGGTTGCTGTTCTGGAGACTGCGGTGGAGTGCCATACTCCGACGACGAAGAAGAGGACTCGCTGGGGACTACGTTACTACAGCAAGTCGCAACATAATCCCTTTCGCTGTAGTCTCGCAAACGCCTTAATCCGGAACAGTTCTTGAAGTGCACCCACTCTCTGCATCCATTACATCGCACCGAGACAGATCTGTGGTGGATGACGTTCTGACAAACCGAGCAGAACCAAGGTCCGGGGTTTTCCTCAATCCCGGCACGGACCAATAAAATCCGGAGCAAGCATTCCGGGATATGCTGCTCCCAATGCAGAAAAATAAACAAACACAAACATGTACATACTGGGTTGGCAGCCGCTGGCCGAAACTGGAATCTTGTTGTTTCGGGTCAATCCGGTGTCGTAGAACCCGCTGCCGTGGGATTGTAGGAACTTATTAGGCTTACCTGGTGTCACCAGGCCTGATAAATGACGTGCCTGGACAACCCGTCATTTCTCTTAGATCACATCATTTTCCGATCCTCATCTTCATTACCAGGTCGCCCGATATCATAACCTCAGTGCGTTGAACTTTCCTTAGCTATGAAAGAGTTGACTGACCAGAACCCACAAAATTCACCATACTTTGCTTCAGGGAACTGTCCAAACCCTGTGATGTTTGGATAGCCGAAAGGATTTTCTGGTACATAATCAAAGGCGCTTTCTATATACCAGCTGATCGAATACCCAGAATTCCATGAAATTTACCCAGAATCAGTAAAAAAGGATGTAACGGTAACTGATCCCAAGCGGTGCGATAATTTGTTGGGCCCCCTATATTTTGAGAGCGACAGGATGAAACGAAGAGTACTACTTCGTATCAGAGTTCTTCCCTCCGTGGAGACACAACCGTACTTTGCAATGGCTGATATTGCAAATGTCATCCGGAACGCCAATCATCTAAAGCGTTGGGCCCTAATGGAGTCTCAGTGGTAATGTTGAAGCAACTGGAGTTGAATATCTGACAACAGTGTTAAACATGTCGTTAGCCACCCAACTTGAATTTGAGGCATCTTCAAACTTCCCCTTTGGAAAAAGCTATCCAATTGTCGATCATAAACCCGGATTAGTCGAGGACTAAACCTTCACCTATCAAAGGCATTTGATATAGTCTACCATGTTACGCTGCTTTAGGATGTCGAGAAAATTACCATCCGGCAAAGTTTGAAACGATGGATAACCAACAATATGTGTGTAAGCTAGTCGTACGTGGAATTCTGCAACAAGAAGACCAAGCCGTCTTCTTTCACGCGAGAAATATGAAAATATCCGCCACTAGGTCGACGGTCTCAATCTTTACAACAGGGTCTGCGGAGATGAGAACAGAGCTGAATGTGCTGACAGACATTTAATTCCAAACAGAAACTACGCATAGATCCCAAAGCTGATATTCGACTAAAGTTCAAGTCGTCCGCATAAGCCACTGCTATCAGCGATAAATCGAAAAACAGAAAAAGGTTATTTTTTATCTCTCATAACGCGATCCTTATGACACCACCTTAAGACACCAATATTGCATCAAAATGAGGAGATAAAGATTATTTGCGTAAAGGCTTTCATCGGGGTACCTGATTGGGTGTTGGGCTGGGAGTCACCGAAACTCTCATATGGTGGATTAATCTTCTCCAACCAGCCGTGTGAGGATAATCCTAGAGACGGAGCTCCAACGTTATAAGAGAGGGCCTCTAGATCAGGAAGGATATATGTCGTACTCAGAGTTCACTCCCCATTATTGCAGCTGCAGAACGTTGGTTGCCCAAAACAAAACAGGGTAATTTGGCCCAACTATATTGAAGTTGGTGCAGTTGTCTTAATTCGTATTGGACTTGAATTATTTAAAACGTCTCACACTTTTGCTAGGCATATAAAGGTGGTTCAATATCTATAAATGTTGGATTTAGAGCAAAACCATAGTAGCAGAAAAACTATCCTGATCGACCATAGTTTAATTTTCACCTTTGTCATTTTTGAATTTTTCGTTGACTTATTGGTGGATATTGTCGTATTCTCTTATGAAAAAGGTTGGTTGGCTTAATTATTCAGCCGACAGCATGTGGTACCAGCTGTAAGAATCAACAACCAACAATTTGAGAGATACCCCACTCTGGGGAATCCCCAGTTCCATATTTCGCGTGTCTTCATTTTCTATCAAAATTTCACGAGCGATTATCGTTGATCGTTTCAAACCTTTTCCAGGAATCGGGTACTATTTATGTATGTGGGTTAATGAACATTTTAGGTTCTTGGCCAACAAGAAAAATAACTAATTGGCTCATATTTAAGGGAGAACTACTTTAGCCAGATGCTTTAATTATGCATGTTTTGACTTTCGGACATTATTGGAAGAATATTTTATTTTGGGGCTGATGAATCAATCCACTTGGCTCTCACAAATACGTTCTGATGTGAATTCTCATCAAACTTGTTAAATTTTTAATTCTTTACTAACGTTTCTATTCTGTGCTTTCTTTTTTCTTACAGAATTCTATAATTGAGCAACTCCTAAAACTTCGATAGAAACACTAAAGAAGTTACAACCTTAAGAAACCCCCACATCTCAGCCTATTAGCTGAATTCCACTTCAGTTGAGCATCCGCCGGAAACTCATTTTCTACCCCGCAGCGTTGAGCACAGCATGAAAAGACGTGATGGGAGCGTTCCTGGATAAACCGAGAACGAACAAGCACAATGACAGCGGTGAGGGAAACAAATTGCTCTTCGGCGTTAGCTCTATGCAGGGTTGGCGCTGTGAAATGGAAGATGCATACTATGCCCGAGCTGGTCTTGGCAATGGTTTGGACGATTGGTCTTTCTTTGCTGTGTTCGATGGACATGCCGGTTACAAAGTGTCCGAGCATTGTGCCAAGCACTTGCTCGACAGCATTGTTAGCACAAAAGAATTTCAGAGCGGTAATCATGTGAAAGGCATACGTAAAGGTTTCCTAGATATAGACGAAGATATGCGTACGCTGCCCGAGCTAAATGAGAATGCGGCAAAATGCGGTGGCACCACAGTGGTTTGTGCTTTTGTCTCACCCACACAGGTGTTTATAGCGAACTGTGGCGATTCACGAGCGGTCTTGTGCCGCCAGGGAGCACCCGTATTTGCCACACAGGATCACAAACCCATATTGCCAGAGGAAAAGGAGCGTATACACAATGCCGGCGGTAGTGTAATGATAAAACGTGTCAACGGTACACTGGCGGTTTCAAGAGCTTTGGGCGATTACGATTTCAAGAATGTTGAAAACAAAGGTCAATGTGAGCAGCTGGTTTCACCCGAGCCGGAAATCTTTTGTCAGCCCCGCCAAGATACAGATGAGTTTCTAGTTTTAGCCTGTGACGGCATCTGGGATGTTATGAGCAACGAAGATGTCTGCAGTTTTGTACATTCGAGGCTGAAAATATCCAGTGATTTGGTGAATATAGCAAACGAAGTCGTTGACACATGTTTGCACAAGGTGAGCTGGGGATAGTTAAATAAGTTGGAAACAAATTAATTTTGTTGAATTTTTCTTACAGGGCAGCCGAGATAATATGAGCATCATTATAATAGCCTTTCCTGGAGCACCTAAACCTACCGAAGAAGCTTTAGCAAGCGATAGACGGTTGGACAAACAAATTGAAAAGATTGCAAGAGGTTGTTTTAAATGCATTTTATGTTTTTAAATGTGGCGTTTAATACTAACAAATTATTTATGATATTAACTAATATCGTTAGCCTATATTCCAATTCGTTCGCAACAAAAAATAATGTTTCAAAATAATATAACAAAACTATTTCCATTAGTTATAAAAAATATTTAACATTATTCTATTTATGTACCTGTTTTGCCAAAGAGAAAAGTATTATTTGTTTGTTTAAAAAAAAAACATATTGTTAAAAAGTATTAATTATATCGCACACGATTTGAGTCTGATATTTCGAGAAATGAAAGAAAATCTTATGAAAACAATTCCAAATTCGTAACAAAAAACGGAATAACGTAACAATCTAAAAAAATGTAAATTAAACACCAAACAATTTAAATATGTACCTACTACTATTATTAGACTTTTATACAATTACATATTATAATATAATGCTAGATCATAGTAAACTTTGCCTTATGCTCACCACATTTATGTGCTATATAATCAATCCAGAACTAAATCTGAACTATACGAAAATCACATGCTTGGACAAAAATTAACTTTACACTAATTTTAACCCCCCTATTTCAAAGTCAACAGTTTATCTTTACTAATTTACATGCCTTCAATGAGACTTACGTACCAAAAATCCAATACAAGGCTTTCTATTTTAAATTTAACAAAACAAAACAAATTAATCATCATTTGGAGTCTTTGTGTGCCTTTCTTAAACCTTTGAGATTGACTATTTTTTATATCTAGAGAATGTGTGAAGAATTGTGTTCAAATGTGAGCATAAGGTACGTTTAATTTAGTTTTAAATTAAATACAATCTAATTTTCACATTATTGTCTTGAATGTTGTTATAGTTTTGAAGGCTAATGCATGACAGCAGTATATTTCTTGAATATTGAGTAATACAATGACCACAACAGTTTCAGTACCTAAGTAAACTGCTTATATTTATCTATATTTTCACATATGTATTTAAAATTCTATTTATCACCGATATTTTACACACTTTATATATTTTTGTTTACCACACTAAATTTAAAGCAATTTTAAATCCTGTTTTCGTGAGAGAATTCTGTAAAAGTCGTAAAAATTAATTTATCCATTTCCCAGACTCTAGACAACATAGAGATTTAACAATCCATTTCACATAACTAGAGCATCCAAAAATTCTGCTTCATTAAACGCGCTCTCCATACGTTCTCAACGATCAGAAATTTAAGCAATCAAATTCGATTCGAATAATTTATTTTTCCAAAAAACAGGCGATTTGTATTGCAAATTTAAAGTTTCTTAGATCTTTTTTTGTAATTAATTGTAAAACAGTTTTCTTGTAAGCATTAGTGTTTATATTCATATTTCTATAGGTTATAGATATATATCATTATATTCATATATCTATAGATTGTATAACCAATTTTATTAGAAAAAAAGTCGAGCATGGTTGTAAGGAATAAAATTAAAAACAAATAATACACGAAAGGAAAATTTTGTAATATAGGTATTTTTGTATTATTTTATTTATACGATAATGACGTTATTTCATGAACACCTTCTTTATAATCGTGTTCGACTATATTTTTAAAACACAGAATCAAATAATATTTTTTTAAGTAGTTTGCTAATTGAAAACACTTTATTACTATAATTATCTTTATCTTTTTTTTTAAAAGCCCCTTATTAATGTGTTTCTATGTCTTTTTATTGCAGAGGAAATTGAAAGTAATGATATCACATGTTGTGGCGAACTATTGGAAGCTTTACAAAGTAAAAATATAGAGGGTCTTCCACCAGGTGGCGGTCTACATTCAAAGTAAGTATCTTTGATTTAAATAAACTTATATTATGTTGCTTCATAGGAAATAAACATAAGCAATTAATTATGTTCCACATTAATTGGCTTAGACGTAGATGGACAAATGACAAATGTTGTGATGAAAATGTGGAGACAGAAATGACAACTCTTTCGGTACCGGGGACAATTTTTTTCTGTAGGAATTAAGGACGCCCAATGACTGTAATCACATGAGGATATTACTTATTCCATTATTATGTGAAGATTGGGAAAATATTGCAAAAAATAAGATCTGTTTAGTCAAGAATGATCTGACTGCATTCGTCTTTTGAGAAGTAATCTCATTCTAACGGCGGTGCATTTTATTCAGGGCTTCATCTAAAAGTTTCGACGTCAATATCGTCGTAGGTAATGGTCATGGAAAAACAGCGCTGACAAAGCAAATCTATTGTTTCACGCTTATTGAGGATGCTGTCAGTGGGATAAAGGATAAGGAGTAATCTTGTTAGCAACTTCAATATACAGGGTGAGATAAAAAACTGCAACAAAGTCAAACTCCATAATTTTTACATTTTTTCTAAATTTTATTGAATGAAAGCAAAAAATGTCGGAAATAGCATCAAATTTTAGAAAAAGTTTATATTTATTCGAATTGGTCACCTTTGGCACGAATTATAACCATCACACGCTGCCCTAATATTGATCTGCTTGAAGTGATCGACTTTGGTATTTTTTAGTGCCAACCTTGCTTTCCAAAACACTCCAGAAACAATAGTCCAACGGATTGGTATCCGAAAATTTTGGTGGCCATTGTGCGCTGGAAATAAAGCGAGAAACCTCATTTTGTAACCTTTCTTGAGTGGCGCGTGCTGAGTGCGATAGTGCTGAGTCCTGTTGGAATGTCCAAGGTCTGCGGCCAAAATATTTGCGTGCACAAGGTTTTAATACACCCTTCAGAATATTTTCGCGATAATATTCGGCATTTATTCCGATGCCACGGTTGGAGAGCGACCATCGGCTGTTATGGCAGCCCACAACCGAAGGTGCACATTTTCAGTTGACCTCTTTGGAAAGTAAACACGATCATTTTGTTTGTTTACAAACTGCTGGAATGTGTTGTCATCGGAGAAAACCAAAGTTCACTACTTTCGACCAAGCGAAGCAACTCTTTATCTCTTTTGAGTCTATTTTCTTTGTGTTGCTGTGTAAGTTTTTGAACTTCGATTTTGAAACTCCGTATTTACCTTAACCATGGGTAATCGCACTGTCCAGAATTCAGTTAGTTCACAAACAATCGCTACATAGAGGCTTTCCGAGACACAATTCGGCTGAATATCTAAGCAAAGGCAGCAGGACTAGCGAATATATGTGATGAGCTCCGTCGTTACAACTCTACTGAAGTAGAGTAAACTATGCGGTTCCAATGTGATCTGTCAACGTAAGAGCTACACAATAGGAAAACATTCCGTCATGCCGGGAAGTCGCCTTAGAAGCGAAATTGAACAAACACAAGTGTTGTGAAAAATGTGGAGACAGAAATTACATGTCTTTCGATATTGGGAGCAATTTTTTTCTGACGCTCAATGACTGTAAACACATGAGGATATTGCCTATTCCAAGATTATGTGAAGGTTGGGAAAATATTGCAAAAAAAATCTGTTTAGTCAAGAGTGATCTGAATGCATTCGTCTTTTGAGAAGTAATCTCATTCTAACGGGAGCATGTTAAAATCGGTGCATTTTATTCAGGGCCTCATCCAAAAGTTTCGACGTCAATATCTTCATAGGTAATGGCAATGGAGAAACAGCGCTGACAAAGCAAATCTATTGTTTCACACTTCCTGAGGAAGCTGTCAGTAGGATAAAGGATAAGTAGTAATCTCGTTAGCAACTTCAATATACAGGGTGAGATAAAAAAACTGCAACAAAGTCAAACGCCATAATTTTTAAATTTTTTTTAAATTTTATTAAATGAAAGCCAAAAATGTCGGAAATAGCATCAAATTTTAAAATAAGTTTAGATTTGTTCGAATTTGTTACATTTGGCACGAATCATGGCCTTAAAGCGGCCAATGAAACCATCACACGCTGTCCGAATGTTGATCTGCGGTATTTTTGGCCTTTCCCGGCGAAGCGCTTGCTTGAGGTGATCGACACTTTGGTATTTTTTAGTGCCAACCTTGCTTTCCAAACTTTAATGGCCATTATGCGCTGGGAATGAAGCGAGGAACCTCATTTTGTAACTATTTTTGGGTGGTGCATGATTGGATGAATGTCCAGGTCTGCGGTCAAAATGTTTGCATGCCCAAGGCTTTAATACACTCTCCAGAATATTTTCGCGATAATATTCTGTATATATTCTGATGCCACGGTCGATTAATACGAGTGGAGAGCGACCATCGGCTGTTATGGCGGCCCACACTATCACCATGACCGGGGCTTGAGTTCTGGTGGCCAACCGAAGGTGCACATTTTCTGCTGACCTCTTTGGCAAGGAAACACGATCATTTTGTTTGTTTACAAACTGCTGAACAACGAATGTTTTCTCATCGGAGAAAACCAAATTCGGCAGTTAACTACTTTCGACCAAGCGAAACAACCTTTAGCTCATTTGAGTCTATTTTCTTTCTTTTGGAATTACAAATACTTTACCCAGTGCTCATTTTTCAACATTTGCCGAATGGAATATTGCGATATGTTCAGCTCACAAGCCATTTTTCAGCCAATGCGACGCGGGTTTTGATCAAGTCGCTTCTTTACTTTTCGAACCATTTCTTCTGATGTTGATTATTATCCTCCTCATTCTAAGAAGATTGCATCGTAGATATTAGCGTATTTGTTGTACAATTCTGTCCTATCTGGCTTGACCTAGTTTCTAGAGTCTCGGGCATAGAATACATGGGGAAAGCAGTCAAAAAATGGAACTGCCAAGGTAGTTATAAAAGTAAACTGTGGGAAATGTTTAAATCACTCTCGAACCCTCGGAAAATGATAGGATATCAGTCAGGTTTACCGACATAATTGGAAGGTGCGATGTTGCGAAGTTTAGCGTATTCGAAATCCACATGGTGAGACTACAATACATTGGCAAGGCTTCGTTAAAATTCATTTGGAGGCCCTTTTGCCAACCAAAACTTGAACTACCAAATAGCCTATGTCTCCTGTATGATAGCAAGGGACATCTGCATAGTAGGAGTTTAATTGTCTCTACCTCTTCTTCATTAGTCTTCAGTCGTCTGGACCTCTTTTATCCCCTTTGAGATTTTAAATAATTATTTAACTTATATTAAATGCGATGTAAGAGTCAGATTGTATTCAAACCATAATATTTTTTATTATTTATTGTGGTATGAAGATGGGATCGGACCACTCCCTCTGACATTGGCTCATTTCTTCTGAACCTACTTCATAGAGGGTCAACAATTTGAATAATCATAACAGAAGTGGAAATATATTTAAATAATCGAACATTGGCTGAGGGTATACATCTGTCGGCAAAACCGACTGACACTTTTTAAATTGTTTTTCAAAAAAATTAAATGATATCATTTCTTTCAAAACAATTTTTTTTTTATAAAATTTAACTTTTTCTTTTCTTGCAGGTATCACATAATAGAGCGAATATTTAAGGAAATGTTTCCCGAAGACCAATGTGAAGTACGCAATATTTTTTATAATATGTAAAATTATTATTATTGTTGTTCTGCTAATGCTTTTTAACAATATAGCAATACTGCAGTTTAATTCTCTTTTCTTTTTGATTTAAGCCTTTGTTTATTAAAAGAAATGAAGTAAAGGTTATGGAAACTTTTTTAAAAATGTTATTATTTTACAATTGTATGATGTATCATCACATCAATTGTGTTAATTTTTTATGCTTATTTTTGTTCTTTTTTTGTGAATCTTCCTAGCAATTTGTTTAAAGATCTGTTTCTGTATGACGACACAAAATTGATTGTGGAATGTGTTTGTTAAATTTGTATTATCTGAAAAAATCCATACTTTTTTTATCGTCATACAGAAACAGATCATATGTATTTAAAGATGAGGTTCCAAATGCATGATTTACCTTGCCTTAAAATTGATTTTTTCAATTATTGCGACGACTACAATTGTCTAATATAAATCCTTACATGTCATATTAACAACTTATGTTTTTTTTCCTTTTTTTTTTCCCAAATTGTGTGTACGTGATGTGTGTGTGTGTGTTCCTGCAATTCTTAGACGGCGCCACATTGAAATCAGGATAAAACAGACTTTTATAAATGATAAAGTGCAAATTTAATAAAAAAATTAATCTACAGCAGCATCAACAACAACACAACAACCAAAAAATAACATAAAAGGCCGAAAAGAGCAGAATCGCCAAAATAACAACAAGAACACTGTTTTTTACATTCAACAGAAAAGTAAGAAAGAAAAAATAACAACCACAAAACAAAGATTTTTATAAAATTTCCAAGTTTTCATACCAAAACCAACGACGAGCCTATAGTGTCATCCCAAATAAAACAGTAACAAAAACAGTTTTTTTTATAAAAATCCCCCCATCTACACATTGTTATTTTTACAATAATTTACTAAATACAATTAATTTTTGTTTATGTTTTTAATGATTTGATGATAATAATTTTAGCCTCTATGTAAAATACAAAGACCGTTGAAACCTAATGATTTTTAAATAGAACAAAACAATGTCTTTTACATTATTTTTAACAGTAATTTGTTTAGTCAGTCCATTATCAATCAACACCACCACCACTGAAACCTTCGCCCCAAAATCTGTGAAAGTTAATATACATATACTTAAAACAAGAAAGAAACTAATATTTAAGTTGATCTAAAGCAAAACAAAACAAGAAAACAAATCCGAAACAAAACAATACATTTTTTATATTCAAATATGTAAACAAAATAAAAAAAAATACACGTAGAAAAATCCTTCGATACATAAAAGTCATACCCCCCACGCACAACATAAATCCACACAAAAACACTTTACTATTTTGCAACACCGGATACCCTTCTACTACTCTACTACTACTACAACTACTACATCAACTACATACAATAAAAAATATCACACATACATCAAATGGAAAAAAGGACATACTACAAAAATATGGCCGTAGCAGTTAAACAATAAGACGATGTAAGTTTTTAATAATAGGAATTATATACATATATAAAATGAAAAAGAAAACAGAAAATAATATCTAAAACGAGAAAGGGAAACATACACAAAATATATATAGATATATATAAAGAAAAGAAAAAAAAAAACAACATACAAATGTAATGTTTGCACACAAACACAGGGATTCCTTAATGTTATTATTATTATTATCATTATTTTTTGGTGTTTTTAAATCACACTAATATTTGACTTGTGGGAAATATAAAATATTTTATTTTATTCGTGTATTCTTTATTTTCTATTACTATATTTATTTTCAATTGATAACTAGTAACCTATCCCATTTTATTAAAAATAACTAAAATTCCTTCAATTTATAACGAAATTTTTTTCATGCTCTCCGAACATCTGTTGGAAATCTGAACGATGTCTTGCCTAAAAAAATAACTAAAATTCTGTTAATTTATAACGAAAATTTTTTCATGCTCTCCAAACATCTGTTGGAAATCTGAACGATTTCTTGTTTCGAAAAGAAGCACCAAGGTTTGAACAAACTGAATAACATTTTGATAACATTTTAAGCATAATTTTTAATCCATTAACCATGACCATGAAATTAATTAAAATGTGGTGGTGGTCCGAAACGCTAAGTCAATCAAAGCGTTGAGCCCAGACAGAATATCAATGGTATTGCTGACAGAGCCATATTCTCCGGCAGTTGTGTACCTGAAAAAGTCCTCAACCTGCCTCTCCTGAAGGAATTCCGGAGCAAAAAGTCCAAATCCCGTAGAGTGAAATGAAGAGCTCCTCACGGGTGGGTGATATCTTTGGAACCGTTTCAGACAAAATATAAGTCGTAACCTATGCGGATTATTGTGCGATCTTGATGCTGATGACATTTGTGCAAGGCTGAAGATCTACCGCCTTTTTCCATGCGAGGAATAATGAAAACCCTCCACTAAGTCAACGACAACCCTCTTAACCACATGGTCTGCAGACACATCTGAATGCGCAGATCGAGAAAAAAAAAATAATTCCAACCATGAGCTACCCCAAGATTCTAGTTCAAGTCAATCCACTTCTATATGCGATGAATTGAAAATCTGGAAAAAGATCATGTGTTCGCGAATATTAATGCTATCCATGAGAAGGCAAAATATCTTCCCGTACATTAGCACAACCGCATACTTTCGTTGCAGTATCTGCTTGGGTGTTATCTGCAAGTCATTCAAAACATCATGGTGGATAAAAAAAACGTGGGCTGCCTAGACAAACAAAGTCAGTTTTGACTCGACTATTTTGAGGACGATGCCTTAAATTAAATTTATTTTAGAAAGCAATACGCCACATATATTTAACATGAAATTGGGATCTCCTTGACCAGAACCCGACAACAATTTCTGATTATTCTCTAGTCTTTATTCATGGTTATGCTAGAGAATTGAGCACACAAAGAGGTGGTTTCATTACGTCTTTTGGAGTTTTCGCGGACTTGACCTGCGTCTGGAGTTGCAGCTTAGGCGTTAACAACACCTTGCGAGGTGTTCTTGACCACCGAATAGATAGGTTTCTCTGTAAACAATTTGTCCAAACACGTGTTGGTCTGTTGGGAAATAGAGATTACCAAAACCAAGTTTATTTGTAACTGCAGAGAATGTTTCGAATTATCAGAAGAAATTTAAGCAAAGATCTTTGTCCTCTCGGCTATAGCGGGACCGTTCTAAGATAAACAACTTTGCCTCAATCTTAATTGCGACTCCTAGCTTCTTGTTGAGAAAGGAGGCATTTTTGTTTAATCGTGTTATTTGAAGAGCATGATATTCATTCTTGCTGATCTATTTCCGTCACATGAGTGGATTGCAGCATTTTCTGACGGGTGTCTTTCGGGGAGATTTTCCATCTATGTTCAAAGAAGATCGGATGACTGTTACAAGCATTTCATCATATTCTGCTTCAGACATCGAAGATATAGAGTAATCTTCGATGTCTGGAAGATTAAGTCTCTGAGATATTATTTTTTTAAGAAGGGCAGCTATCTGGTTGCTCTGCCAGTTTAAAGTGTTGTTGAATGAGTTAAAGCTTTACGTAGAAATGTCAGCCACGCCAAAGATTGCCATTATTACGAACACATGTTTGTCAAGGCTTTAGGGTTTTGAAAAGCCTGGCCGGCAATCTTAAGAAAATGAACTGATCCCTTTTATAAATTATTAGGTCAAATCTAAGAATTGCGGTAGGCATTCTGACGGGCCACTGCGGTATCAGATAAATGAAACACTGTAGAAAATGTGCGGATGAAGAAGATGTGGACTCTTAACACCTACTATGCAGATGTCCCATGTTATTCTCTTCTGTTCTTAAGTGGATTGTTATTCTCCATAGGAGTAAGAAATGTACATAACAACTAACTTTTAGGGATCAGTTAAGGAAAATGTAAGTGTTGTTCAACTTAAGAACGCCAATCTAAGATACTTAGGGTCCGGTGCTACCTGAATTCGTCGACAGAAAAAAATATTGGCAATACACTGGTAAATTTTAAAAAAGGTCATGAAAACACTAAATGGTCGTTTTGATTTTTTAGAGTATTTTGATGTCGAAAACTCTCTTGTTGTGGATTTATCTTCCGGTTCAGCACAACATGGAAACAGATACAGGAGATTTTATGACACACTTCAGGCTCACAAGCAAAGCATTTTTATATAACTTGGATAATATATTCAACAATGTTTTTTATTTCAAAAATTTCGGTCTACAGAAATCAATTTTACTTTCTATATTTTCTTTCCGAACAATTTTCCATTCTCAACAAGTTTTATATTTTCTACAAGTCAAACAAAAGTAAATCAACATTATATCATTACATATGAATTAATTTAATTATTTTTTATTTTTCTCTTTTTTTTTTCTAGTAATGAAATCTATGTTCAGCTTTAATTTTGTGCGAAAGGAGTTCCATTTTAATTTAGAAAAGTATTTATTTTTTAGTGCCGCAACTAATTCCTATCTACCAAACCAATCAACCAACCAACCCACGCTCCTCCTCATCAACAACTCAAATGAAGTCTTATTTTGTATTGTTTTATTCGTTTTGTTTTTTTTTTTTTAATAGCTAACGTAACAGTGTGTATTTTTTAATTTCCTTGTATTAAAATTGAATTGTTTTATTCATAAGTGTATAATTATTTTATTTTTTTATATAACATAAAACAAAAATACCTTTGTCTTTAAGTCTTTTTGTTGCTTTCTTACCTACTTTTCTATTTTTTTTTCTAAATAAAATGTTTGTTATATCATTCAATTTTCCTAAAAAAAAACAACAACAACATGAAACACAAACAAGAAATGTCATTTACTTTTTTAATGATTAATATTTAATTTCAAATTTTCTATTTTTAATATAAGCCTTATTACAAAGAAAACAAAAAAGAAAGAAAATAATAAAAACCACAACTTATATTCCTAAAAAGAAGTAAAAATAAAAAACTAAAAATATATATAGAAAGAAAAAATAAAACAAAAAACAAAAATTGAAGGTGAAAAATAATTTTACACTTTTTTCCAACCTAAGCTAAAAAGAAAGAAAAAAATAAACAAACAAAAAACCAAGAAAACTATTTGTAAATTAAACAGAAAACAACAGCAAACAAAAGAAAACGGAGAAGAAAAACACAAAATGAAAAAAATGATTAAAAAATATATGCTCGAGTTTGTAGTAAATGTTGAAAATAAAAAACGCATGACTTGTTTTATTTTAACAAATGGGTAAGTTAAAATTAAGATATGGTGATGGGACAATTACAGCGCCTCTCTTTGATGAATATGGCAGCTTTTAAAACAATACTATCCAGCCATGTTTAGAAAATCTTGAAAAATTTTCGATATATGTTCCTGTTTTCTGTGGCACCCCATTTATGTTACCTCAATTTATATATTTATTTATATTTTATTTAAATAAACTTTTAATTTTTGATTTATTGTAGAGCTGCCAATTGTCAGGCACATGGTGATATTTTTTTACTCATTTTTCATATCCACCATATACCAGTCATATCATCTCCATAAACGACAGGTATTGTCTTTCGATGCAGTCAGAATTATATCGCCATTGTAACTGAAGGCACAGGAGAATACTTCCGCTTCATGTCCGGCCAACACTTGTGAACACAGACCGGACTCAATTAACCACAATCGGGCAGTATGATCAGCTGAAGCAGTCATTAGAAGGTTACCAGGTGGACTAAAGCAAACCTGAAATAGGAAGCATAAAAAGGACTAATAAAATTTTTTTTTAAAGAAAAAAGAAAGGCCTATCTGTGTAAAATATGTGTTTCAAATCAAATGAAGGAAATCATATTATTTAAATACAATTATTAAAAATTTGTCGAAAAAATACGAAATAAAAAGTTGGTCCAGACGGCATAAACATAACAAATAGCGGAAAATTATCATGCATTTACCTCAAAATATTGGAGTCGCTTTATGTATGGAGAAGGCTACATAAAGATCTTAAAAAGATTGACCAGGAAACCGAAGCTATTTTGATGTGTTGATCTACAAACCGAATACTAATAAATCTACTTAGAATTCATCACAACCAAGACAGCGAAGTTATAATAATAAAAAAATGTTTCAGAAAATATTCAAATTCGGACGTTTTCCAAATTCTCTTTGCAACATATGCATCGATAAAATCTACAGATTTTGCAGCGAAATAAACCTTTAGAGATATATAGAACCTGATTTTGAAAAGACATTTTGATCATTCATTCAGTTTCCGCGGGTCTTAATTATTTATGCAAAATCAACGCAACAGGTTGTTTGTTTGTTAATTGTTTTTATAGTAATTCAGACATTGCAAGCCAAACAGGTAGGCCTCTATATTCGCAATTTTTTTCAAAGTTAGCCTACCTTGTCTTCATTGTACCATGCCTAGACATACGGTTTATTCCGAGATTTATAGTGAAATTTTGTGTTGAATATTTCATTTGGCACTTTCTTGTCACACTTTCGGGGTAGAATGCAATTTTTCGATACTTAAATGCATCAACTCGAAGAACCCAAAACGAAAAAAACATCGAGGAAAAAGTTGATAATAAAAAACAGTAAGGAAAAGTCAAAAGTCTGGCGGGGCCGACTTATGATACCCTATACCACTGTGTATATTTAGTAGAGCCCCCGTAATTAAATAATTTATTGGAAGTAGATCATATCACCTATCAACATTTGGCTTTAGAGCAGTTATAATTTGGTTTCAAAGGGAACTAATCGATTTTCGCAAAATTTGGCGGAGACATTTTTATCTTTTATACCAAAAAATATTTCTTTGAGAAGGATTATATTAAAAATATATATATCGGAATATACATCCACCAAATGGGCTGATATTAGCCATTATTAGCACAATAAACCTGAAATCGGATTGAGGATATATATGTGAGCTATCTCCAAATTTTAGCCGATCTCAATAAAATAGGCAAGGGGTTTTCCGAGCTCTGTAAGATATCTGGTACCAAATATCATAGATGTCGAATGCATATTACGAATGTGAGGAACTTAAACATCAAATCCGATGAAACATATATGTGGAAGCCATAGCTATATTAACCGATTTTCCCCAAATTTAATGTACTTGCTTCTAGACTGAATTCGGTCGGATATCCAAAAATTCAGGTCATTTGGACTGATATTGACCATTTGTTGCACAATTAACCCGAAAACGGTTGAAGATATATATGGGTGCTATATCTAAATTTGAACCGATTCTCACCAATTTCAGTAGGGTTCGTCCTTGGGCCAAACAAATATTGTTTTTGGTCTATCTCAATCTATATTTTCTTCATGTAACAAACAAATACACAAAGACATAACACCCTTACCACTATGTTGTGTAGGGTATAAAAACAGAAAATATTTTTGAGTTGCTGCTTATATTTTCTTGATATGTAACGAAAATAGATTACTTTTCCTTAGTGACTTACAATGACATTTCATGCAAAATAACTTGTCTTTGACGTCATCCCTTTGCATAAACTCACATGGAGTACGGTTTTAACCCTATTTTTCAACAGATATGAATCCCTGTTGGTTAGGTAAGATTTGGACTTTTAATGTCTTCTGGGACTCATTGTGTTTGTTCAAAATTTTGCAGTAAAAACAAATCATACCTTTGACACTTCTTCCGAGTGACCCACCATAACAGATAACAATTCCAAGTCCCCGGCAACATTCCAAACTCTTGCCGTGCAATCATTACTAGCTGTGGCCAAACGACGGCCGCTACAATCAAAAGCCACATCCAAAATCTCATCTGTATGTTCTTTAATAGAAAACAAAGGCTCCCCAGTTTTCCTTACATCCCATATACAAGCTGTGCTATCCAAAGATCCAGTGGCAATCAGATCACAGGAAAAATTCCACACAGCATTACTAAGTTCAGCCGAATGTCCACGTAGTTGGGCTATCAATCTGTAATACAGCATTTAATTAAAATGAGTAAAGTTATAAATTTCAACTGCACCTCTTTGATCGAATATCCCACAGGCTAGCCGTTCTATCGAATGATCCCGTCAGCAACATATTACCATCTCTACTGAAACGACAATTGATAACTTCAGCACCGTGGTGAGCTAATGTCTGCAACTCCTGTGTCGATTCTATGTGAAAGAGGCGTGCCGTTCCATCCATCGAAGCTGTACATATTGTCTCGCTGTTAATGGGTTGAAATTCAGCCGAAACAATTTCAGCTGTGTGACCGATAAGCGTGCTGCGACAAAGTCCCGAAGCTGGACACCAGACCTTCGCCGTACTATCGAAGGAACCCGTAACAATGCGATCACTAAAAGCAAATAATTCGAAATTAGAAATTAAAAAAAAATGCTCTGAATAACAAATGGAAATCTCGAATTATAATTTAAATATTATGAATAAAAAGTTAAAAGGAAGAAAGTTTGGTCGGGACATTTTCAAAAAAATAAAATCCGATAGAAATTCTGTTAAAATCTTAAAAATACCGAATATAGGGAGGTACCGCTATATGGGGGCTATGCAAAGACCTACATAGACAATTTTCTGTCACAGGCTGTAGTACCTATTATGAAATTCAAATACGAAATTTCAAACAATTTCGGTGAATATTGTACCAAAAAAAGTCAAAATACCTAATATTGGGAGGTACTGGTATATGTAGGTTATACAAAGACGTAGGCCTGCATACGGAATTTTTTGTCATAGACTGTAGTACCCATTATGAATTCTAAATACGAAATTTGAAATAACTCCTGTGAATAATGTCCCTAAAATCGTCAAAATATCGAATATCGGGGGGTACCGTTGTATATGGGCTTTAAGCTTCCAGGGGTAAAGTGCTTAGAAAGAACTTGTAGTGCGGATTTTTAGACAATTCTATCAAAAAATTATGTTAAGTTCATTAAAACGCCGAATGTAGGTAGGTACCGTTATATAGGGGGATATACGATATCGTGGACCTATATAGACAACACTGTTCAGAACGAACTTCTTTTATGGATTTTCAGACAATTTCATTGAAGAATTTGGCTACAATCATCAAAATACCGAATTTCAGGGGGTAACGGTTATATGGGAGCTATACGATATCGTGGACCGATATAGCCCATCTTCGAACTCGATCTGCCTGCAGACAAAAGACTGATCTGTGCAAAATTTTAGCTTCCTATCATGATTCGTGTTTACAACAGACGGACGGACAGGGATAAATCATCTTAGAATTTTACACTGATCAAGAATATATATACTTTGTTATGTCTAAAATTAGTCGGCCCTATTACCGTTGTAGTTGCAAAAAGAAGTCGAGGCGACAACAACGGTATTAAGGTTGTCATTTTTTGTCGATAGCGATGAATGCTTGCTATTATCATTAACGATGATAGATATTCTCTAAAAATGACATCGACGTAAAGTCATTTTTAGAGAATATCTGTCTCCGTAAAAATTGTGACGACATTGTATTTTTTAGTCGACGTTGATATTTTAACCATTTTGTATTTGATATTTGACCATGAAAATAACAACAGCAAAACAATTTGGAAATATTGAAGCCATTTCCGATACTGTGGTCTAATTACCGCATACGATATAGAGAAGTTACGATATCGTAATCTTATTTTTGGATGACGGCGTTCGATATCGAGTACTTGACATGGAAGTGTCGAATGTAACGACAATACGACAATTTAAAGTGTTATAATTCTGATTGGAGCATAATTTGTGCTTTAATTCAAAAACAAATAGTAAGTTTCTTTAAAAATATTAAATAATTGAATAATTATAATGATTTCAAATGTTGTAGGTCAAACTCAAACAAAATAAACTTCCAACAAAAAATTATTTTGGCCGATTTCATGACAGACCATCCTGGTTTGGTCAAGAACAAACATTCAAATTGTTCACAAGCAAGAGCGACGGTAAGTCGGTTTCGGAACAGTTTAACGACGTGAAAGTTATCTTTTAACAAAACTTCCAAGAAGGAAACCGGTGGGGGACCTTTAAAGGAAAAACTTGTTACATTCGGCCTACTCGGCGTTATGGTGGGGTTCCGCACTAGCTCAGGAGGGAGCGGTTAATCCAGGGGGTTCTCAACCCTGCCACCATCAACCCTAGGGAATGAACACTTAAAGAATTGTACTGGAATAAACACAAACACAGAAAATCTGAAAACAAACATACACCTATGACACAGGAGCTTGATATTATTGCTCCCCCACTATGCCCACCCATCCTTGACCCTTTAGTCCAAATACACTCAAAAAAAAAATTTAAAAAGGGCCCCAAAAAGCCACACACACTCACTTACAACGCCTAACCTCCTCTCTCACAAATAAAATTTAGCACAACATATTATTTCTTTAGACAATTAGACATTAAGCTTATTTATTAGAATCATCATCGTTCTCTTAAAACTAATTTCAACACGAACACATAAAAAAAAAACTGGATTATTAATACCCGAACGAAAAACAAAAATTGTGAGTCAATACTCAGATTACCTTTTTTATTACCCTGCTAGAAGCGCCAATTCTGGCCAATACAAGTACTTTAAATTTCTGCCTAAAGGATCTCACTTAGACAAATCTTTTGGGCATTTCAAATCCTTGTCCCAAACAGAAAAATCGAAATTTTCTAGCTGTAAAATTTTGAGGCAACCCTACACTCACTAACAATAAGATTTAATGGGCATTAATTTTCCTCACATTTGTATCTTAAGCACTATTTATCTAACTACAAACAATACGTTTAATTTATATACTAAACTACACACTAACAAACAAATATTTTTTATAGCTTCTTTTTTTTCTTTTTTTTCAGTGGTGTTTCCGTCAAAGGAAAAGGAACTTCATGTGACTTTTTTCAGCGGGATTTGGCTTTCTTTCTTTTCTTTGGTAAGTAACTTAAATTTTGAATTACATTACCTTCACAACGGCATACTTAGGCCACTTTTTATCTTCTTTTTACAGATTTTTAGGTGGGATCTACTGGTTAGCTTCCCGGATTGGTAATGTTGCCTGTTCCAAGGGTTATCCACTGGCAGTTTGCCAGGTCTTTTGGCCGTTTCCAGAACCTTTTCGTTGCCTGGAACCCCTGTGCCGCACCTGGCGATACAAAAATAATTGTTGGGGATGCCCGCTTCTTTTTCGTCCAAGTCGGATGGCGTTGTCCAATTGTGGATTTATGCGCGGCGTTATTCCTAAATAGAACACAAAAACTTAACACAACACATCCGACATAACATCACTTACAAATCAACACTTACAAATTGTTTAGATACGCCACACAAATAAAACAATAAAACACACAAATTGTAACTGCCAATTTAGTATTTCCTTTTTTTATTCACAAAAAAAAAACATTTAAAAATTGACTGAACTGTTTCTGTTCCACACCACTTTGAAATAATGGCGCTCTTAGCCCTGTCTGTGCTTTATATACGGCCACCAAGGACGCTCAACCAAACTTTCCCTCTTTTCCAAGATTTTCCCACAATTTCCCTGACATTTATTATTTACCTTTATCAGGTGTTCTACCTACCCACTATTATCCCCAGTGTTGTATTTTTGCAACACGTCTCTCATGTTGTCAATAAACAACATGAAACTTGGCATCACTTTTTAAAATTTAGCCGGCCGCCCTGCGTATCCGGTTCTCTTTTTTGGCTGGCGTTCAGCACGTTCGGTGCATTAAATTGCACATTATAAAAATTTTACAATGAGGATGAACGCAACAAACTGTTAAGTGCTGCCGAAGAGCAAATAGTTGAGGCTGTTGGATTAACTACCGCAGTATCTCAACGGATAAAACGTTCGGTACATCAATGAATATCGACGAAATCCTAGAGAATATATTGGAAGACTCAAACCATGAATACGAGAATGTGGCTTCCACAGAAAAAGATGATTTCATAGATTTTACTCCAAGCACGAGTGCACCTCGAAAAAAAATGACAAAAATCAAAAAAACAACACTCTTTGAAAGAAGTGTGGAACAAAATGAAGAATTATTAATTTCAATTCGTGATATAAAAGAGAGAGAACTTAAGATTAAGGAGGAAGAACATACTTTGAATCAAAAATTGTATCGTTTCAAAAAGGATGAATATTCACTTCGTTTAAAAGAACATAAAATGAGAGCAGAAAGCATGCCTCAAGAATAAGTGGATCTAGAAATAAAATCCTCATTCATTTTTGCAAAATTTCACTTTTTCACTAAATAAATAACAACATGCTTTGTTTATTCCATGGTAAAAATATCCAGGTAGTCGCATCGACACAGCTGCTGGGACAATGAACTGTCAAACCGATTTTGGAATTGAAAATGTTGAATGAAAAATTTTTTAAATTTGTAAAAATAGTTAAAAAAATCATATTGTAACAACCAACGATTTGCGTCGTATAAAAAAAATTAAAAATATACTTATTTTTGATTAAACATTAAAAAAAAATTGACATATCAATGTTCCCAAGGGTTGATGCATCTACCTATATTCTTCTACCATGGTTTATTCTTAAAGATGGCAAATTTGACATTTTCAAATGTAACAAAATCGATAAATTCGAAACTAAATTACGATTGAATGTAATCATCCAAACAATAAAATCGAGTCGTAATTCATTTCGATACGATTCTGTATTCGATAGCGGATGCCGTAATTAGGCTCCTGGTCTAATAAGATCCTAGCGCTAAAAACCTCAATGCTGTGGCCAATTGGAAAAATTCTATTTTAATAAAACCTCTTCGATTTTTTTTTAAAAAAAAATTTCCAGATGTAGTTATTTTTGCTCTGATTCCGGGAAACTGATTTCTGATCATTTACCTAATATAGGCAATATAGGTATCGTTTGAAAACGTATACCTGGTACGGATTTCAAAAAATTGAAGAGGTTGTGGAAATGTCTATTAGCACATGCTGAAAGAAGTCCTTTGCTGCCTTAGCACTCGCCGATGCTAACACATTCTCCTCTTCCTCCTTACTTGAACTTACGATATGTAACCGATTTATAATATTCATTTTTCACTAACTAACAAGGGAGTGTTGCCGACGTTTTATAAGTTATTTTACTTAAACTATCTTCTATGTCTTACTGTAATGCCATTTTTGAATCGAAGCGACGGCGAGGGCTGCTTGCACATAACGTCGACGACGACTATAGTAACGACAACCGTAATTGGGCCGATTATTTCGATGAGTTACAAACGGAATGACGAACCTAATATATCCTCCATACCATGTATGGTGGAGGGTATTAAAAAAGGAATTCTAGAATTTCAAATAATATTATTCGAATTACCTCTGAAATAGGTTTAGTCACATTTTCTACCTTAATGGTTTCAAAGAAGCTATTGAAAGTATGTAATAATTGTTTTAAATCCCATTTATTTATGAAAATTTTGATATTAAATCGTGTAAATTACAGATATAGGGTAAGTGTACCAGTAGTCGGCACTTTTAGGCTCTTCAATATTTCAATCTTTCGACATTCTGAGTGAAATCTTTCAATTGCAGAAAAATAAAGTTGTTCAGATTCCATATTTTGTTTAGTTTTCGAAATAATAAACAACAATTGAATTTGTTTTTATTAAATTGGCAAAATTTGCAATTTTACCAAAATAGTAGTTTTTTGCCAGTAGGCGGCACCATTTTCCAATGCTCGGCATTTGCCAGTAGTCGGCATATGCTATTTCATTAAAAAAAATATTATTTTGTATATTTTTTTTTATTTCAAATAGTGTAAAACAATGCTGTAATACTAATTCATAGTTTAATTAACTAATTTCCTTTTTAAATAGTGTTTTATTTAATTATCATTCTAAACCAAATATAGGTAGAAAATCAAGAATAGTATGGATTTTCAATTAAAATAAAAATGAGATTAAATAAAAAAGTACCTTTCTTATGTTTGGAATTTATGAATTGATATTTTTCCTTTACATAGCCAACATTTGTTTCAAAAATGCCACCGCTATCTAAAGCGTCAAATAGCTGATTTAAAAAACCTACTTAATTTAGAAAAGTTGGTCAAAAAGCACAAATAAAAGCAACTGCCGACTCAAAACTATTTTTTTATTTGAGTAGTTTTTGGATTATTATTTAATACTTTTCTCAAGTTTTGGTGAAATAGGTCAAAAATGATTTTTTTTCTAGTAATCGGCACCCCCTGCCCATTATTGGCAAATCTCTTTTTTTCTATTCCTAATGTCGGCATTAAATAATATAAGAGAAAAATGCTTGATTATGTATGTTTTTTAAGTTATAAAATGATCTTTAGACTGTTATTTACTATTATACAATATTTCTGATTCCAAAAGTATTAAATTTAATTTACTTAAATCGATTATTAAGTTGACGCCAACACTAATTTTGTCTTTACAAACAAGCACTATCGCACGCGTTAGAAGACACTCACTGACGAAAACCGTTATTCTCTCGTAATAAATGATCGGATCTCATTGTTCTTTTTTACAGAAAGAGAGCAGAGAACACTGTTGACGATTTTTTGCAATTATATCATTATTTGGTCAATTTCATTTTTAGTTATTTAAGTTTAAATTTTAAAACTGCCGACTACTGGGACATGCCGAACTTAGGCGCACTTACCCTATATGACTCTCGAATATTGGTTTTGACACTCATTAAAATATTTTTAAAAGCTGTACTTCCACTCCCAATGGTGTTGGATATAAAAAAAAGGTTCAGCAACGCAGAACTTAACTGTTTTTATACCCTACACCACAAGGTGGTCAGGGTATTATGTCTTTGTGCATTTGTTTGTAACAGGCAGTAGGAAACGAGATAGACCCATAGTTCCTTTTGATGATCTGCATAGAATCACATTCTGAGTCGATTTATGCATGTCCGTCCGTCCGTCTGTCCATGTATTTTTGTAAACAAAGTACAGGCCGCATTTATTGCCCGATCCAGATGAAATTTTGCACAGATCATTTGTTTGGCCCAAGGACGAACCCTATGGAAATTGGAAATAATCGGTCAAAATTTAGATATAGCTCCCATATATATCTTCGTCCGATTTGCCTTTTATTGTGCACCAAACGTGTAATATCAGCCCGAATTGTATGGAATTTTGCATATACACCCAAATTAGGTCTGAAAATATGTATGCCAAATTTGATTGAAATCGGTTCAGATATAGCTATAGCTCCCATATATATTGTTCATCCGATTTGTTATTTTTGTCCATCGCCGCCGTAATATGCACTCTGCAACAACAATATTTGGGGAAATATGTCGAATACAGCTCAGAAATACACTTGCTAAATTTTATCGGGATCGGTTCAGATTTGGATATAGCTCTCATATATAACTTCGTCCGATTTACCTTTTATTGTGCACCAAACGTCTAATATATTTGTCCAAATGGGATGGAGTTTGGCACTTACGACCGAATCAGGTCTAGAAGGTAGTATGTCAAATTTGGTGATGATCGGTTCAGATATAGCTATAGGTCCCATATATATTGTTCATCCGATTTGTCATATTTGTTACCCACAGCCGTAATATGCACTCCGTAACAACAATATTTGGAGAAATATATCAAATGCAGCTCAGAAATACCTTTGCCAAATTTTATCGAGATCGGTTCAGATTTGGATATAGCTCCCATATATATATTTATCCGATTTCAAATTAATTGTGCACCAAATGGGCAATACAATTCCGAATTTAAAAGATACAAATGCTTCGGCATATTTAGTCCTTTGAACTTTAAATTATAATTATAATTATAATCATAGCGTATATGTTTGAATTCTCCCATAAAAACTTTTATTTGTTATGTCGAGCTCTACTAAATTAGCAAAGTGGTGGAGGGTATCATAAAGTCGGCCCAGCCCGACTTTAAGACTTTATTTACTGCTTTTAGCTTGCTTTTGCTTTTTTTAATTTCAGCCTTAATAATATATATTTTTAGCCTAATTGCTTGCCATCTACACTTCTTGGTTAATTGGAGTATTTCCCTAGTTGATACAAATTATAATTCTCAGTTACATTACATTTGCATTTGTTCTATTTTTAGGATAAACTTAGTTCCCATTTAATCTTACTTATATCCTTTTCCGGAACATTATACCAAATACCGTTACAAACATACCCACACATATGTGTATTCCTTTCTCAGAACTTACCATTTGGGAAAATTGTAGGCAACCGAAAAGACCACATTATCGTGTTCGGCTAGAACATGCTCGACACTGCCATCGTGTGTGCTGATGATGCGGCACGTTCTATCATAACTTCCGGTTATACAGCGTTCACCGTTCCTGTCGAAGCTAATGTTCGTCAACGGCAGGATGTGCGTGTCGAGACGTGTATGGAGATAGAATTTCTTTTTGGTGGGTTCCTGCAATTTGCGCTGCAACTTGGCAATGGCCTTACGCACGGCACCATAGATGACAGTGCTTTCGGCATTTGTGCCGTTAGCATTGTGACTACTGTTTCTATGTCGGTTATCCGGAGTAGTGTCACCTTCGTTGGCATGTGTTTTTTGTTTGGTTACGGTTTCACATGTTTGATCTTCGTGCGGAGGAAGATGATGACGGTGTTGTTGTTCGTTTGTTTGCAACGAATGTCCTTGTTGGTTGTCACGGTCCATCAAACGTTGTAGCACACTACGTGCCACATCGTTGGGGTTTGAACTGCAAAGAAAGCAGGAAAAAAACATATGTGTATGTGTTTACGGAATTGATGGTGTTTTGTTAACTTGATTTAGGAAAAGTTGTCGAAATTTCTCTTTACCTGGAAATAACTATTTACTCACTTGATATTCAAATCCAATAAGTCAATATGCTGTAAATACTCCTCGCCATCGCTGTATTGGAGATTTAAAGCAATGCCTAAAATAAAAAAGACGTTATCAGGAATGAGTAAAATATCGTAGAAAAATAATTATGGTTCTTGTCAAAATTTCTAATTTTTGAAAATAAATTGAATTCAAATTCCATCCCATGCTCGCTGTTTTTAATGCATACTAATAGCCTACCTGGTGGATAATAACGCAAAAATATTTTATTTAAGGACATTTCGATTAGAATATTTTTCCTCCTGATGTAAAGGAATGTATTTTGTTTATTCACGAAACTAGCACAACTGTTTTGATGTTAAGGAATTTTTCAACGTCAAGGTGTTTGGTATTGGGGGAGTGTTTTGGTTCGTTGTCAAGGATTTTTGCCTCCTGTTTGTTTGTTCAATAATTGGGAACAGATTGCGGGTTTACTAGATTTATTGTTAATTTTTGTAGACAACGTTGTCATATTTGTAACAATTTTTATTTAAATTTTTTTTTTGAAATTAACAGTTTTTTTCTAAAAATATATATTTATAAAAACAATAACATGTGTGTCGCTGTTCAAAAAGTGGCTGCACAGGCCAATGAAAAGCTTTTGTCTGCAATGAAAGCTTTTTGTACTAAAAGCTCCCACTTTAAACTGAAATACTGGGAATAGTGTTGCATAGATTTGTTTCGGCGGATAATACCAAACCGATTTTTATACCCTCCACCATACTATGGAGGGTATATTAACTTTGTCATTCTGTTTGTAACTCCTCGAAATACTCATGTCAGACCCAACAAAGTATATATACAGGGTTGCCTACATTAGACGGACCCATCTGGCAACGCCATAACTTTTGACAGAGATGTCACATCGCTTAATGACAAACCGCCTTTGAAGCGTCAGTGCAAGCAGATTTTTACCATGAACCAATACATGCCACGCGAGCGCTCTGAAATAGTTGAAATTTACAAGAAGTCAATTGTGAAAACTCAACCTGCTTTTAAAACATTAAAAAATGTTCTAAGAACACCATTAAGCGTTTATACGAAAAATTTTCGACTGATAAGGTTCTTTCTAATCCGAAGAGGCCATATAAAAGTCGACCAAGGCGATCGGCCGATAATATCGCTGCCGTACGAGCCAGTGTTGAGAGGTCCCCAAGAACATCCCACTTTACAACGGATTATTCGCATTGATTTGCATTTGTTCCCGTAAACCCTGTATTCTTGATCAGCGTAAAATTCTATGTCGATTTAGCGATGTCCGTCTGTCTGTCCGTCTGTTGTAATCCCGCTATCTTTCGAACGAATTGAGATAGATGGCTACAATTTTGCACACATGATTTTTTTGCCAGTAGGCAGGCTAAGTTCGTAAATGGGTCATGTAGGTCCACGTTTTCATATAGCCCCCATATAACGGTACCTCTCGATATTCGGTATTTTGATGATTTTAGCGACATTATTCACCGGAATTGTTTCAAATTTGGTATTTGAAATTCGTAATGGATACTGCACCCTAGGACAGAAAATTGTATGTGCAGGTCCACGTCTTCGTATAGGCTCCATATAACAGTACCTCCCTATATTTGGTATTTTGATGATTTTAGCAACATTATTCACCGGAATTGTGTCAAATTTGGTATATGAAGTTCGAGAGGGATATTACAGCCTAAGACAGAAAATTGTCTGTGCAAGTCCATGTCTTTGTATAGCCCCATATAACGGTACCTCCCAATATTTGGTATTTTGATGATTTTAGAGACATTTTTCACAGGAATTGTTTCAAATTTGGCATTTAAAGTTCGTAATGGATGCCACAGCCTAAGACAGAAAATTTTCTCTGCAGGTCCAGGTCTTCGTAAAGGCCCCATATATCAGTACCTCCCTATATTCGGTATTTTGACGATTTTAGGTACAATGCTCATTGAAATTGTTTGAGATGTCGTATTTGAAGTTCGTAATAAATGCTGTGAATAAACCTGTGACAGAGAATAGTCTATGCAGGTCCAGGTCTTCATATAGCTCCGTTATAACGATAGCTATATTATTCACCGTTTATTTCACGTTTCGAATTTGAATATGGTAATGGCTTATGACAAACAATGCTTATGTAGGTCCACGTCGCATAGACCCCAATATAACGGCTATATTTGGTATTTTTAAGATTTTAACAGAACTTTTAACGGATTTTATTTTTTAAAAATTTCCAAATTTGTTCCATATGGTGGAGGGTATTCCAAGTTCGGCCCGGCCGAACCTACTGCTTTTTAACTAGTTTTGGCTATTTTTATTGTGTAATCTTATATAGATTGTAATCTCATATAGACGATTAGAAAGAGAAAATAACAAGTAAAATAGTATCGGTCGCTTCTGCCGACAGATGTATACCCCCAAGCCTGGAGTTATGATTATGCAAACTGTTGACCTTCCATGGGGGAGGTTCCGAAGCAGTAGCCAATATCGACCATTTCATATCTTACCTAGGACTGATATAAATATTACAACGTGCCAGATTTGGACTATATCGGCAACTTCCTATACTTTACATGAATTTACAAATTTTTGGAAAATGTGGAAATACGGGTGAGGTTTCAGATTTAGCGGATCGAAGTATTCAATTTGCATACCACATTTAATACAAATAAAAATATTGGTGTGTTCAAAAATTGAAGGAAATCGAACATTTATATCCAATTCTATGCGAAATAATAAATTCCAAATTCATCTCAGGTTTCTGTTTAAGAGAAATATTTAGATATATCAATTTGTAAAGAATCGGTGACTTGTTTCGCAAGTTATGATAGATAATAGTATTGAAAATTGTGATTTGAGGTACCAGAAAGGGGTTAACGGGTTAATATATCATCTTCACGACTGATCTTGCCTTAGCAAATATATTTGTATGTGTGAAATTTGATGAGAGTTTGATGCTTATTTCCCTATATTTGAGCATTTTTTCAAAAGCCTATGTGGCGGAGGTGCCAGACAGACAGATCTTGTAAAATGAAATCGGAAATAAATTTCGCGTTTTATGAGCTTCACGAATATTTAAAATGTTGACCCTTTGTGAGGGAGGTAAAAGAAGCAGTGGATCAATAGATTCCATCTTCACACCAGACCATGGGTTAATAAAAATAATGTGATGTGTGTAATTTGAAGTTTACCGCATGTTTATTTCGGATTTTATGATCGTTTTGGTTATTCAAAACTTTTTCCATTTGTGGGCGAGGCACAAGAAGGAGTGGTCCGATCTCTACCATCTTCACACCTTGGGTTAATAAATATATTGTGATGTGTGTAATTTGAAGACATTCAGACTCTTACATCGTGTTTTATAAAAGTTATAATTATTCAAAATTTTGACCAGTTTGCGTTTTATAAGCTTCATGGATATTTAAAATGTTGACCCTTTGTGCAGGAGGTAACAGAAGGAGTGGAGGGATGCATCCCATCCTCACAGTTGATCTTGTTAGTAGAAATAATGGGATGTGCGAAATATGAAGAGAAGCTGATGCTTATTTCGGATTTTATGATCGTTCTGGTTATTTAAGCTTTGACCAGAAGAAATGTTCCGATCTCTACCATCTTTAAAAACGATCTTGTGTTGATGGAAATATTGATATGTGTAAGCCTGAATGGAATCGAATGTTAATTTCGCGTTTCATGAGCTTCATGGATATCCAAAATTTTGACCCTTTCTTGAGAAGGTACCAGAAGGAGTAAAACCGATATGTTCCATCTTCACACCAAATCTTGGTGATGTGTGTAATTTGAAGGCAATCGGACTCATACATCACATTTTATAATATTTGTAATTATTCAAATTTTGACCCTTTGTGGGGAGGTATTACTGGACCGATATTGTCCATTTTCGCACTAGACATAGCACTAATGCAAATATTAGGATTTGCAAAGTTGGATACTATTGAATATTTTTGTTGGAAATTTGGACCTTTTGGTGGGGGAGAATATTTTCCATCTCCGAACTCGATCCAAGTTCGATAATAATTTACAATGTATGAAGTTTGGACTAAATCGGATACTCCCTTCGGGATTTATCGTGCGCACCAGCAGCCATACAGACAGGTAGACGGATGGACTCGATAATTCGACTCCAAATATCCTGAAACGAATTTGGTCCAAAGATTCCTAGGGTCTAAACCGTTATTTCGATGAGGCACGTATAAAATGATATAGATAACCAGTAAGGAAAGCTCAAAAGTCGGGCGGGGCCGACTATATGATACCCTACAAAACTATGCATATTAAGTAGAGCTCTCGTAAAAGGGTTTATACAGGGCATTTCAGAGCTCTATGAGATATTTGGTACAAAATCCTATCGTGCATTTTACGAACTATAGCTATCTCTGAACCGGGTTTCTCCAAAATTGACGTATTAGCTTCTAGACTGAATTCGGTCTTATGTACGAAAAATCAGTTGATTTGGGCTGATATTGACCATTTAGTGCACATTTAACCCGAAATCCGATGAAGATATATATGGGAGCTATATCCAAATCTGAACCGATTTCGATAAAATTTAAAACAGCTATTCCTGTGCTCCAACTAATACCTGGTACCAATTATCACGGTTGTGGAGTGAATATTACGAATGTAAGGGACTAAAACACTAAATCGGATGAAACATATATATGGTTGCTATATCTATATCTGAACCGATTTTCACTAAATTTGATATACTTGCTTCTAGGCTGAATTTGGTCAGATGTACTAAAATTCAGTCCATTTGGACTTATATCGGCCATTTGGTGCACAATTAACCCGAAATCGGATGAAGATATATATGGGAGCTATATCCAAATCTGAACCGATTTCGATAAAATTACAAACAGCTATTTCTGGGCTGTATCTTATATCTGGTACCAAATATCATTCTTGTGAATTGCATATTACGAATGTGAGAGGCTTAAACACCAAATCGGATAAAACATATATATGGGAGCTATAGCTGTTTCTGAGCCGATTTTCTCCAAATTTGTTGTATTTGCTTTAAGGCTAATCTCGGTTACATGTGCCAAAATTCGGGCCATTTGGGCTGATATTGACCATTTGGTGGTCAATTAACCCGAAATCGGATGAAGATATATATGGGAGCTATATCCAAATCTGAACCGATTTCGATAAAATTTAAAACAGCTATTTCTGTGCTCCATCTAATACCTGGTACCAAATATCACGGTTGTGGAGTGCATAGTAGGAATGTGAGGGACTTAAAGATCAAATCGGATGAAAGATATATATGGGAGCTATGGCTATATCTGAACCGATTTTCACTAAATTTGATATACTTGCTTCTAGGCTGAATTTGGTCCGATGTACTAAAATTCAGTCCATTTGGACTTATATCGGCCATTTGGTGCACAATTAACCCGAAATCGGATG